AAATTAGGATTCAGTCAAAAGGCCTCATTTAAGGACCTAGAAGGCCACATGTGGCCTTAAGGCTGCAGCTTCCCCACCCCTGGCAGGTGGATGGACTCTGGAGCCAGATTGCCTCCGTTAACGTCACAGCTTTGCTACTTGCTAGCTGTAATCCCGGGCAATTTATTTAACACATTTGTGCTTCCTTAATAAAATAGAGGTAATAGTAGTATATAGCTCATGTGGATGTTTATGTAACAAATTAATTAGTCCATGCAAATAAAAAGTGCTGGAATAGTGCCTGACAATGCTAGGCACATTATAGACATTCAACAATGCTGGCTATCATCATCATCAACATCATTATTAAATGCAGTTGATGCAGAAGAACATTTATGAGGCCAATCTTTATAATTCATATATTCATTCATTTTACAAATATATTGAGTGTCTACTCTTACCCCAGCATGCGTCAAGCTCTGAAGATAAGGCAGAAAACATTAATGAATTTGAAACTCTAGGGATCTCAGGAAAACATCAGACCATAACATTTAGTCGGGAAGGACTTTCTTTCAGAAGTTAAATTGATATAGACCTACTTGGCACATTTATAGAGCTGAGACAATCTAGATAGTTAGCATGTTCCTTACATAGATTGAGTCAAATTATCTGTAATCTTGAGTGAACTTTCTTCAAGAAGAGATTTTCATTTCAAGAGTGGCTTTTGATGAGTGACTCCACAGTACTGTCATTGACAATACAAGAAGTCTATAAAATGCAAATGCTAGATTTATATGAAGCAGAATTAACATTAAGTTACAGGAAGTGAAGAGCCTGAATCGGGCTCTCAGACGGAATGAAAGATTTCTCCAGCCCCTACACTTAGATGGGTCTCTGAGGTTGTATCTATGCAAGTCAAACACTTCTGTTATAATTAAGAGATCATTTCTGGTATATGATCATAGACTACTGTGATGATTTATTACTTGCTAGGTATTGCTATATAATATTCCTGGATAACATAGAAAGCAGTAAAAAAAAATAGTTTTCCAAAATATTTTATCTTTCTCTATCTTCTCCAGTCTGGAGATAAAGGACTTGTAACAATCATTTACATTGCATGATAATGGAGCATAAAATGAACATGAGAAACATAGATACATAGTTTGCAGAAACTTTCCATGTGATTACAATTTAATACTAGATGTAAAATAGCTGAAGTGTGAAAAGGAAGATTCAGTAAGTTTGTTTACCAATAATGTCAACAGAAGATTTTTTTTTTAAGTGTATGTTAGAGACATGACCTTATTTCTTTCTTTTTTTTTCTTTTTTGTTCTTTTCACTTTTTAAAAATTTTTTATAGAGACAGGTCTTACTATGTTGCCCAGGCTAGTCTTGAACTCCTGGTCTGAAGTGATCCTCCTGCCTTGGCTTCCCGAAGTGCTGAGCCACTGCACCCAGCTGAGACAGACCTTCTTACTAATTAAATATTAGAGGCTAAAAATTAGTAAGATAGCCTTAAACTCCATATTTAAGACCCAGAAAGAAAAAATAATGTTCTTTTGGTAACACTGGTATTGATGTATAGTATTGAATTAAGTCAGGTATTTATCACTAATTATTTTATTTTGAATTATTTTAATGTTCTGAAAAAATCCTATCTTAACTGCATTTTAAAATACAGCAAAATCATAACTGTTTTTGGCCAAAACATTTTCATTTCTCCATCTTTTTCAGGTTTATTCCCTGCTGTCCTGAATCTTGCTTCTAATGCCCTCATCATGACCAATGCAACATGTGGAGAAAGAGGACCTGAAATGTACTGCAAATTGGTAGAACATGTACCTGGGCAGCCTGTGAGGAACCCCCAATGTCGAATCTGCAATCAAAACAGCAGCAATCCATACCGTATGTATTTTAGTATTGATTTGTATGGCACTGGGTAGGATCTATAATTGAGAGATTTTGAGGGCCAATTGCATTACATTCAAAGGGCTAGTGATTCTAAGAAGTCCCAGAATTTTTCTTCTACTATGGACCTCTTTACAGCCCCTCTCTGTCATTCAACAAACATTGGAGTTCTTTGTATGTACCCGGTATAGTGACTGGAGAAGGTTCTCCAGCTTAAGTCCTGGGACAGTCATTAGGTTTACTGCCTCTAGAATGGTATCTGATGATGTGGTTATTAACTTGGGCTTTAGTCATTTATTGGTCACTTATGTGCCAGGTCCTTTGCTTGAGATCCAAGAGAAATAAGGTAGGGTATGGTCTTTGGCCTCAACTAGTGAGCAAATGGGCAAGAAGCTGGTTATTGCTATATAGTATGGTAAGTACAAAGGAAAGCATGAGCAGAGGGACCTGAAGAAGAGAGGGTAGGGTCACAAATTCGGTCTTGGTGTAAATGAAGGCTTGCCAGAAAAAGTCTTGTGTAATCTGATAACCAAGGACAAGTACCAGCTGAGCAAGTAAAGAGATGAGAGAGGGGAAGAGAAGGGGGCATGCGAAGAAGAGAGATCAGAATAAGACAGAAAACCTTACTTGCTCAGGGAGCTACAAGTAGTTAGGAATAACTAGAACTGAGAGTGTCAGAGGGCAGAGAGTAGAGAGGGGTATGATACAGAAGGCTGGAACCAGATTCTGAAGGTTTCTAAATCCCCACGAGGAGCATGCTAGGGAGAGGCACCGTGCAAAGCCCTCTTGCTGGCCTCTGAACCACAGTGATATCTCAGACTCATTCATGTATTTATTCAGCAAGCATTTGAACCCCTACTTCTAGCAATGCATTTTACTGGAGCATAATGTTAAATCATATGTAGCCCTTGATTCAGGGAACCTAGAGGGGAAATAGAGAAAAGAGAAAAGTAAATTGGGTGCTAAGGGAACATGTGGGTTCCATGTAGATGCTATGGTCATCTAAGCTTCCTGATAGAAAATGATCCATATACTGAGAAAGTATGAGTTAGTAAGATTGAAGGGCAGAAAAGTATTATAAAAGGAAAAACACACATGAATCTTTAAGGTATAAAACAGCATGATATATTCAGAGAACTATAAGTAGTTTAGGTTAATGAGGAAAGAGTTTGTATGACAAACGGGAATGTGGTATCCAATATTTTAGAGATGGAGGTTGACTTAGAGAAGTACATTGAAAAACCATTAAATATATACCTATATATTGAGAAGGTTAATAAAGTGAATATTTAATTCCAATTGAGGTGAGTTATGTTGAAGATAAAACTTCACAATTATATTATTCTTAAATTTGCTCAGTTATCCTTTTCTCATGCTCTTTCTCTCTATTTAATAGACTTTTTTTTTTAGAGAAGTTTTAGGTTTACAGCAAAACCAAAAGGAAGGTATAGAAATTTCCCATATACTCCCTGCCCCAACACATGTGTAACCTCCTCCATTATCAATTTCCCCCTCCAGAGTGGTACATTTTTTACAATCAGTGAAACTACAGTGACACAACATTATCACCCAAAGTTCATAGTTTACATCAAGGGGTTTACTCTTGGTGTTGTATTAATACATTTTATGGGTTTGGACAAATGAATAATGACATGTATCTACCATTATAGTTCATACAGAGTAGTTTCATTGATTTTTTAAAAAAATTATAGAACTTATAAAAGGAAGAAATTGACATCTTTTTATCTAAAAAAAACTGGAAGGCATCATGCATTTTTTTTCTTGGAGCTGGTTAAAGGGAATGCATAGTCCCTATATGATATAATTTAGGGATATGGAAAACATAACTATAATTGGGGAATTGGGACTTTTGTGATTAAGACTGGTGGTCTTGAATATCACAGAATCTTAGGGGAAAAAGTTAAAATAACCAAAAAAGGCAAACATCAGAAATCTTTCTTACCTATTAATGACTCTGGTTAATTTCTAGAATGTAGGTTGCTGTGGTGTGGGTATAGTATTGGTGAGTGCTGGAGTGTTTGCTATTTCCTATACAGAATGATGAGAGCAAAGGACCTGTCAGAGCCCTGGGGAAACAATAAAAGCTAAGGGAGTTTGGGTAAGTAGAATCAAGGAAGGCGATGAAGAGAAACAGATTTTAAGGAAGGAGATCAGGAAATGAGACATTATGTATGTGAAGCAGGAAAGAACTTTCAGGAGGAAAAAGTAAGCAGCAGTGGTAAATGCTTCCAAGATATTGAATGTGAAAAGTGTAAAATAGATTTCCCTTAATTTTGATGATATGGGCATCCATTGGTCACCTGGTTACCGCAATCAGTGGATCAATGATGATAAAAGCTGTGTTGAAGAGTTGATAAATGAATGCTGAAGAAGAGGGGGATATAGGAATATTCTCTCAAATATCCTTGATTGTGAAAGAGAAGGGAGGACTTTGACAGAGGAGGACATGGTGTTGCCAAGGTTTTCAAAGACAGAAGACATTTGAGCAGGTTTAGGTGCAAAGGGGGGAGGCCAGGGAAGTTGAAGACAAAGTGATGATGGGGTGATGTCTCTCCAGAAGTAAAAAGCTGTGGATCATTAATCACAGGTGAAAGGCTTAAATTAGGAGATATGTACTTTTTAATCGACCAAATCAGAAAGAAAGGAGGATGAGTAGGGGCAGAGAGAAGAAAATATTTAGGACAGAATTCTTATTTGATGGTCTTGATTTCCTCCTTAAGATGTAAGTCTGAGTTATCTACTGAGATTAGCCTCAGAGATTTAGATTAGCCTCTTAGGAGAATAGGAGGAGATCACTGTACCGTAATAAGAACAAGGTAAAAATTTCGTATGGAGTAAAATAGAAGAATCAAATGTTTGGACTGATCTTCATGGAGCATTACAGAGAAAGTAGAATGAAAGGATAAGGTGGCAAGAAAATTGAAGCAAAGGCTGGAGAATAAATGAATTGATCATTTATGAGTTTTAGGTTCCTTAGGGAAGAAGATGAAGCCTGGTGGAGGGAAACAGCCATTGGTTCAGAGACTGGTAGACTGGATGATTTCCTGGAAAATGTGAGAAAGCCTGGAGGCCTGAACGTGGTGGTGGGTGGGTGCACTGGAGTGTGCAGAAGTATGTTTAGCGTGGCTGGGCAGAGAGGGAGAAATAGATAAAATATGTAAAATCATGCATGTGTGTTTATGTATGCATGTATATAAATATGTGTTTATATATTTATTAAATAGATATTAAAATAATATATTATATAATATATATTATAACATTAAATATATTTATGTAAGTAAAATATATATTTACACATGTGAATATATATTTATACAGAAAAGGAGAGAAAGAAGTAAATGTGTGCAATCATAGAGACAGGATGGAAGGATGATGGGAAGATTAGGGTGGAAAATAATTGAGTGGAGACTCTCGGTTGGAAAAATGGATGAGATGCATTTGCCAAATTGACTCCAAGAGCTACTCTGTCACTCACTCTCTTCAAAGTTCTATAGGGTCTCTTGTATCTCAGTGGAAGACATTCATATTTAGGCCATCTCATTCCATGTTTTCACACTGAGACCAAAAATGAATAAATTATTTCAGTAAAGCAAGATGCATATATGTTTTGTATTTCCCCATTTTTATTTACTTTTAGCATTTTGTTGTTTTTTTTTTTAACTTGTCACAGTCTGGATTTATTTCGTGTGATCAATTTAAATGACCGGCTTCATTGAATTTCACAATTATGTTTTGGTACTAGAAATTTAGAAAAACTAAAACTCCACAAGAATAAAAATCTAGCAATAAACCACATGAATATATTTTAGTAAAAGTTGGAGCAACAGATGATCAAATTCTACAAATTCGATGGAACTGCTAGAATAAATCTGAAAGGTCTGCACTTAATTACCATGCAAAGAAAATGAAATTTGAACTTTCTGACTGTTAATAGATTGTGCTTCCCAATTAAAAACTAGCAATTTGAAAGGTTTACCTCATCAATGACTCCCTAGCCAGTTTTCAGATGCAGTTAGCCCTTGGATTGACTTGCACAGTTATCCCCTGTTGAGGATATTATACATTTCTATCTCCTTTTAAATGAGGGAAATATGCCAACAATTCATCAGTATTTGCAAATTAATAATGATTAAGCTTTCATAATGGGGATTATGGTTAATTGTTGATTCATTTCCCAGTCCTTTTTTTCATGACTAATTCTCACATCAATTTGACCTGAGGTGGCAGATATCAAAATTTCCAATTAGACAGCTTCTCTCACAATTACTTAAGAGCCATGAATTTAATTTGAAAATGTGGTTGTGTTTGTGTTTTTCTATCACATATTAAATACATAATCTGTAAAGAAGATCTAGGGAGACGTTTGGGGAATGTTTTCTGTGATATTTATTTTTCTTTAGAAGCAATGCCAGTAATATTTCATTTATAATTCTGATTCCTAATATGCCAATTTCAGCACCTACTTATGCCATCAGGGGTTTTTATTTGATATTTAGTTATGCTTCTGGTATTTGCTGTCATTATAAAGACCTGACACCTCCCCAAGCCTCAACAGAACAATTTAACTAACTCTAATTATTAAATATATTCAGCAATTTTGCTTTTCATTAATGAGGCATCATGCCTCATTTCAGTAGACTACTGTGTGATAAAACTTGGTACAAAGTCCATCCACCTGTTTAGTTGAATTAAAAAATTTACCAATATAAATGGAATATTTTCGTCATGTCTTATATGCTCATATTAAGATTTAGAAGATGAATATCCATATTTAGAATACTAATATGCCAAGTAACTCAAAGTCATAGGATTTATGTTTTCGTTTAAAAGTTATAGCAGGCTATGTAAATAAAATTAATGTGTAATACAAATGTTCACAAATTTGAAAATGGCAAATTTAATGAATATTCAGTTTTTAATAAAAATTTTTCTTTTAAAGATTTTTCTTTACTGTCAGATTCCTATTGCATTAAGGACTTAGTTTTGTTTGATTTGTATTATTTTTTCAAATCTTTTATTAAGTGCAATTTGTCTTAAGGTTCAGAACTGTACATTTTGAACAGATGCATAATTTATTTTACATATGTGCATAGTAATAGTTAAAATATTAATAGTTGTAATGTTCATTGGTAACCTGGTGAGTAAAGGGTTACCATCTAGGGAGTTTTCAATGGTCCATGGCAAATTAGGAAAATGAAAATGTTCCATATTTTTCATGAAAATAAAAGGGATACATTTTAAAGAATTGTCCTTCATTTTGATATTACGGTTTTTAAAAACTGTTGTTGGCTTTTAAAAGTCCTTTATTTTATGAAATAATAGTGATGGTATATTAAATGATAGTAACGGTAGATTGGAGGTTATTATTACTTGGAAAAATGAAAAGCTAGAATGCCTATAAGCAATTCTACAAATCAATCTCACACAATTTTATCTTTTTTTGAAATTTCACTTTTTTTCTGAAAATTAGAATCTGGAAGCCACTGCTGTGGGTGGATTTTGTTATTCTTATTTCAGAGATGATACACAGAGTTTAAGTGATTTGTTCACGGTCAGTTAAGTACCAAATGGTAGAGTCAGGAGTAGTATCTATCTCCTCATAGGCCAACTTTCCATAGTCCGAATCTCTTTCATTACCATGGTATTAGAATACATGGCTAGATTACTGTATTATGCAGGTAAATTGAAAGTCCACAGTTGTTCCTCAAAGTGATGTGATTTGTTCGTTATCTGAGGTATTCTTTCAATTTAAGAAAGGGTTGCATTCTAATCTAAAAGGTTATTCATAGTCCATTCATTTGAAACATCTTCCCAGAGAATTAGTTTTAGAAAGTTCTCAAGACTGACACCTGAAGGGTACTTAATCCATAACAAATAGAAGAGCACCAGGGAGGGTCACCTCCACTTTGTTTACGTTCCTATGGGCAGATGTGCTGACTTCTTCCAAGTGAGATGTTAGGAACCAAAGTACCCTTAATTGCAGCCCTAGGAGTAGAAATAGAACATCAACAACCTCCACTCCTGCCATTCTCACCTATCTGTGAGTGAGTCCTGCTTAGAGGAGGAGAAAAGAAACAGAACTTGTGTTACTTAGAAAATGAGAAACAAAGATTTCAGACCAGGACTAATGACTAGGAACCAAACTGTACCAAGAGCTCTGGCAGCACAGGGGTAGCTGTTGTAAGATACATGGAGCTGAGTTGGAAGAAGTGAGAATCTGTGAGGTTTGAGGACTGTAAGAAGAATGGGAGCTATAACAAAGGTCTATGGGGGTGACAATGACTGTCCAGGCCCCCTCTTTTCTATCACCAATCTTCCTTTGTATTCTCACAGTAGTCTTGTCCTCATCCACCTGGGGTAAGGGTGAGGGAAGATCCATGTTTTGTTGGTAAGATGGAGTTTTGTACCATCATCTCCCTGCTTGCCATTATTGTCCAGATTCCTAGAGTTAGTGATTATGGGAAAAGGCAAATGCTGGCTAGAAGGTTTGGGATATCTTTCATTATATTATTAAATAGTAGTAGAAAGTTGGCAAGTTAAAGACTGGCTGCAAAAAGCCTCTGTAGGGGCCAAGCGAAAACTTCCCCATCGCTCTCTGAAGATTTGCTGAAAAAGCAACTGACAAATGACAGATTAACAGGAAAGGCGTACAAAATTTATTTTAATGTGCACAGCACAGGGGAATCACAAGAGGATGATTATCCAATAACCCAAAGGGGTACGGATGCTTATATAATATACCCTTCTTCATAGAAGAGATAGAGCAAATATGGCAGTTTGGGGGATAGTAAATGATTTTTAGGGGATTTCAATGGGCTTGGAGAACATACAGTGGCCTAGGACAAATTCTGTGGACTCACAGAACAGATAATGGTTTGTGACAAAAGTCTGTCCAAGTGTATTGACAGACTTCAGTCTCTTTTCCTGCAATATGACTTAAATTGATGAAAACATAGGGAAAGGACCAGAGGTAATTGTTTTCTTCATGGCGGGTCCAGACTTCAGGTGGATAAGGGAATATCAGACTAAAATTTCTTCCAGCATCTGCTGCTCTCCAAGGGCCTTTAATTTAAACTAATCAGCATACCAGGGTGCCGTATTTTGGGATATCAGTTTCTAAGTCCCAGCAGCTCATGGGATGGATTTAACGGCATTTTAAAACCAGATACATACTGGATTGCCCAAGCCTTGCTAATAATGAATGTGTCAGAAGGGCAAATCTTCAAGTACTTTTCAGCCACAATTCAGGATTCTATGTTTCTGTTAACAAAGTTGAGGGCAGACTAGTGCTTCCTCAAATAGTTTTTAGTTTTTTTTGAATGATTGACACATCAATTAGATTTCAATATAATTTCTTTACATTTAATTTCTACAGTTATCTTTGAAGTTGCCCATTTCAATTGGTGGCCAGAGTGCTGGGCAGCTTGTTCTCCTGTAGCCTAAAGCATTTAACCATTTCCTACTACCTGGTACAGGGCTGTGAAAAAGTTGTCATTGAATAAATTCTGTTGAAGATATGAATTGCTCTCTTTTTATATTATTTTAATGTTTGATGTCTACATGGTGATTGTTTTCACTTAGTTTCACTCTTTTACTTTAGTGAACCAGCTATGAATTAGTTACATGCTCTTTTTTCCTCCTTTCACGTGCTGCTGCTGACTCAACAGAGAGACACCCGATTACAAATGCTATTGATGGAAAGAACACTTGGTGGCAGAGTCCCAGTATTAAGAACGGAATCGAATACCATTATGTGACAATTACACTGGACTTACAGCAGGTATAGTGCCTCTTTTTTGTAATTTTTCCACTTTTGAAATTGTATCATGCATTTGCTATTTGTTTAGTCAGTAGTTCCTGGGTGAAAGGATATTCTTTCTTACCAACCTCCGTTATTTTCTTGATCCAATGAATAACGGGTCCTATTTATCTGGCATATTGTCATTTAAAAATACTTCGCATTTACTTCTAAAGCACAACTAAAATGGATTTATGTGAAGGATTTAGAAAAGTATTAGCAACTGACTCTGTTTTAACTAGTTGGAGTCAGTGAAAATACTGATCAACAGAATTTTACATGAAGACGATAATAATAATATCATTTTTACCTTTTCAAATGATACAGTGCTCCCATTCTGCTAATGTGTGCATTTAAAGGTTTTTGGATAATAAGGCTCTTGAGTAAATTGCCTCTTGTTATTGAAAGTTGAGCAAGCTTTGACAGTTGATTTCAAATTAAACTTGGGCCGCTAAATGAGGTAACAAGCCTTGTAGTTATATAAAATTGATGTTGGAAGTTGTTAGAGTTTGTGCTACATAGGCCTGAGTGCCTTCTGTGCTTAATTCCTTTCTTCTTTCTGTTCACAATATTCGGCTCAGGCTGAAGCTATTAATCAAGAGTCACCATCACCCCAAATTATTTAGGCTTACAAATAAGATGAAATCCTGGACACATGTTCCCATGTTTTGTTGTTATCCCCAAAACAAAGGCTGATTTAATTGGCTGGAGGCTGAGACTGGGACATTGAACTTAAATGACCTCTTTAATTCAGCCTATTTCTTTTTCACTCTCTGGCTTCAGCATAGTAAAGGCCCTCAGCCACTTCTCCCTGGGCCAGCATGTAGATAAACCAGCAAGGGAGTTTGGGGTTAGTGCAGGGGTGATGGACAAGATAGTTGATGATGGATACTATACACTTTAGAGGTCATGGTTTTCGGAGGCTGCCATAGTGTGGGGAAGCGCCAGCCAGTGGGCTACATAGGCAGCAGACATTTCCCTAATGCATGACATTTGTCATCAAGAGGACAACCTCCCTCCCCCAGGGTCTAGATCCATTTTGGTGAGGGCTGCATACATTCAAGAGCCACAGATAACTGGCTGGGGAGCAAGCAAGCTGGTGAGTCTCACAGCAGACCTGCTTCTGTCCAGCTGGGAGCCCTCAGGACCTGAGCAATGCCATGGCATCAGGGGCTCAGTGCTGCAGCTTTGATTGCCAGGTGGCATGAATTTACTTTTACCCAGTATACAGCAGCTCTGAGTTAATAGTATTTCCCAAGAAGTCTCAGAGCACTATCAGGTAATGGCAGGACAAACTACCACACTGATCAATCATGTTTTAGGTCAATTAATCCTGTGCATGAATTCCCTGGGGATCCTGGTCTTAAAATGGACTTCATTCTCCTCCTGATAAAAACAACTTGGTCCTTTATCAGTCACAGCAGTTCTTCCCCTTCGTATGATCATTGAAAGCTTCCCAATCAAGAGGGAGTCTGCTGTCCATTGACTCAGGTCATCTGGGATAGGGAATCAATAAATCGTGATGGTTTATTGCTCTGTTTTACTCTCCATTTATTCTTTTAGATTACACATAGAGCAAGGGATTCAATTATTAATATAATTTGCACAAATCATTTATACTGCTCTTTGAGTTCAACCATAATATTATTTACCTGTTATCAAATATAGCAGCATTTTTTCCTTCTAATTTACAACTGGATGGTGCAATTGCAAGTTTTTACTAAATCATTTCTATCTAGCTTGCCTGTTATTCATTCAGCAAGTCAAAGAGTTTACTTGAAAGCACATTTTTCAATAAGGCTATTTGTATTTTCCTGAGTTTATTTTGCAGCCCCCCTTATCCATTTCCTCACAGTATCTTAAGAATTAAGTGGATTTGTTTTTCCTGTTTTCTCCTCCTCCCATTTAGTTTAATAAAGGTAAGATAAGTGAATACTATAAGGCATCTTTTACAGTTCAGTTATCAAACAAGTGACAGAATTCTATTTATAACCCAGGTCCACTTGACTCCAAAGTCTGGAATTCACCAAGTAGAATTGGTACAGAGGATATGTGCTCAAACAGTCCCATATTCCAGGATGGTGTCCACCAATATCCTTATTTATTTCAACTTTCTCCTATTTCCTGAAATCAATCTACTGTGTGTTTAAGAGAAGGGGAGTACAAATAATCTATAAAATGAAATACATCCTTATTTCTACCTGACTCATGATTTTAATTTAGTCAATTATTTAATGATATAAAAGGTTAGAAGGTTTTGTCCTGGAGCTCCTCAGAGAAGAAGGGGCATCATATACTTTTCATTTGACCTTGGGCTTTGGAATAGCAAACTGTGGGGCATGTTCGTAGTACTTATTCAGCTATGGAAGGTATATTGTCATGCATTGGCAACAGAGAACATGTGGACATCTTTATTATGTCACTTCTCACAGTAATCCTACAGGCCAGCTAATATTATTATTTCTGTTGAATAGTTGCAGAACACTGAGACTTAGAAAAGTTAAGTGACTTGGCTTCTTTACAAATCTTATTATGGCCAGGGCTGGGATTTCAGCCTGAATAGTATGAATCCAGACCCCAAATTACGACAGTCTTTCTTAAACTGGGATCTGAAGACTGAAGCCTAGGGAGCTCATGAGAATGTTATATGATTTAAAGGGGACTATAGGTAGTTCGGGTTTAAGAAATACCACACTATGTTCTCTTGGCTTCTATGGGAGAATATAGCTCACATCTCTCTTGTCATAAAACTGAAGTAGATCTCTCATTTTCTAGTATACTCTAGAATGCCTCTAAAATGATGTAACTTCTGTCTTTTCTGCCTACAGCATGAAGGATTAATAGGACATTCAACATAATAGTTTGTAAGATGAGCTAGTATCCAACTGAGAGTAAAGGGTAGTAAAGTTATAGTGAATAGGTAAATATCACTGAATGTTTATCATTGATTCAGCAAGAGATTTTTACCATTTATTCTTTTTATTTTGAAATGTATGAATTTCAACAAGTGCCAGTATTTTTGTTAATATACAAGGGCTGTCCAGAAAGTATCCAGCCATTGTTAATGTAATTTTTCATATTTCTTGGCTGGATACTTTCCGGACAGCCCTCATATATTTGGTTCCTCTGTGAAACACTTTCGATGAATTAGTATCTTAGATGTAACAGCAAACATTGGATTTTGTGGATTGAATCACTATGGATTACACTGGGAAATTTTTTTTACATCTTATTCAAGATAAGCAGTAGAAAAAATAACTATTTATTTAGAAGAAAGTAGCTACTTATTTTATAAGTAGATTGTTTTTAGATGTTTATTTCTAACTTTTCTCAATTCCGTTTATTCATAGCATATCTTAAACAAATAATTTCATCATGCTGTTTCTCAACTTCTAGATTAGCAGAATATGTATTACAATATCTTGGCAAGAAGTTTGAAATAGTGGTAATAGCAATATACCAACTAAATTCTATGTGATAATTATGGTCTAAATATTCAAAATGTCCTACCTAGATACACTTTGTTTAGTATAACAGAATATAATGAAAAACACAGTTTTTCACCTGCTTTAGTTTTTTTTTTTTAAATAATTGATTCAATATCACAAGCAGGATCTGTGGTTAAATATGTTCTCCTTTCAAAGGAATTGTGCTGACATTTTAATCGTTAATGAAGGTGGCAATCAACTTCAGTGTCTATCTTGTGCAGAATATTAGTCCTGATTCGTTTCCACTCATCTCCCTTTTACTCTGTTTCCAATGTAGTAGTCATGGCAATCTCATTTGTACAAAATCACGTCACATCATTTTTTCCACTAAAACTCTCTAGTGGCTTTCCATCACATTCAATGGGAAAACCACAATGATGCACAAGGCCTTATGGACCTTTTTCTCACTCTCTTTCATCTAGAGATCTCCCTGCTTCATTTGCCCCATTAGTTACTTCTCTGTGTCTTGAACACTCACATCTGGCACTATCCTGCTTCAGGGGCTTTGCATTTGCTATTTCTTATGCCTAAAATTATTTTTCACAATTTTCACTTAGACCGTTTCCTTACCTCCTTTTGTTTTTTATTCAATCGTCACCTTCTCAGCAGGGACCTCCCTAATAACTTTGTTTAAAATTGCAGCTCCCTCTCCACTTCCTAAATCACTTCCTTACTTTATTTTTCTCCATAAAATATATCACCACCTAACTTACTATGTTTATTTTACTATATATGTTGAATGTTATTTACCCTTTCTAAATGCAGTTTTCAGGAGGGTGGAGATATTTGCTGTTTTCTTAATTGCCATATTCTAAACACTTAAAATAATGCCCAGTGTATAGGAAGTACTCAATATATAATGATTGAATGAATGAATAATTTAAAACATTAATCTGTAATATAATCTTATTGAAGCTGAGAAGTATTAAGTGATCTCATTGTGTTTCTTATGATAAAATATGCTGTGCATTTTTTTAATTTATGAAATTTTCTTTAAGTCTCAGGTTTAATAACATTGTCTTTATCTGTTCAGGCTGCTATGACAGAATACCCCTAGACTGGGTGGCTTATAAACAGCAGAAATATATTTCGTACAGTTCTGGAGGCTAAAAATTCAAGAACAAGGTACTAGCAAATTTGGTGTCTGTTGAGGGCCCTCTTCCTGGTTCATAGATGGCCATCTTCTTACTGTAGCTTTACCTGGAAGAAGGGGCAAATAAGCTCTTCGGGGTCAGTTTTATAGGGTCATGAATTCCATTCACGAGGGCTCTGTCCCTATGACCTAATAACTTCCCATCTCCTACCATCATTACACTGGGGGTTAGAATTTCAATATAGGAATTTTTGAAAGATGCAAACATTCAGTCTGTAGAAAGCACAAAGTAAATTTTGTCACTAATCCTCTTTCTAAGCATGTTGTAAACTCCAGTCACATTTGTCACTCTGTAAGTGAATTTGCCACATTTATAGCTTTATTTGGGAAAGAAGGTTTTA